AATAATTAAAATAGCAAACAAATATTGTTTTAATCAACTTGTATGTTATGTTGATGACTTTATTTGCAACACAAAATTACAAAAATAATTAACCCAGCAAACAAATAGTTTTACTTTCCATCTTTAATTCATATTAAAGGTACTCCCATAAATATCTCAGTGCATGGAGATCACTCATGGAGATGTACCACCCTATCTATTTACAAATATTTTTTCCTTGATGTTATAAAAACTACTATTGTTTTGTGTAGTTTTCCTAGAAAAATACACTGTATTATAGTAGACAAATGTAATCGCAATAGTTATGCATAATTATGATAGTAAAATTGTTGTTATTCAACCGTGTTTCCTTGACGTGACCGAAAAAATAATAATTATTTAAAAAAGTATGGACAATATTACTTACGAGTAGCAGTTGTGTTGAGAAGATGCAATTTACCATTTAAGTTACGATGTAATTATTAATGTTGTATAGATATAAGCTGTACAAACATAAGCTTAAAATAGACCCATGTGTACTGAAAATCCGAGAATATAGATTTTGTTGTTTAAGTCATTGTTGTTTAAGTCTATCTGAATATCAATTTGTCAATATGAAGCTTCATTCAGAACCTCGCAATGAGTGAAATAAATTAGTGTTTTCAATTACACTTTTATACTTTTAGTTTACGATCATTCACAATATTTAAAAACACAATTAAAATTAATAGAATATCCTAGCAAACAGCTTGCGTTAGTCAGTTATATCCATAGAGAAAGCCTAATATTTAGCTTGTAAAACAATCAACTTTGATTTCTAACCACAATTTCTCTTGACGGAAGATAATCAAAGGCCAAAATGACATTTCTCGTAAATTTTGAAGTATAATTAGTGGAAAAGTTAAAAGTGATAACTTTTTCTACCAATTGAAAATGTCTACCACTAATTTTGACGTTCTTACATTGAAATTAAAGGAACAAACTTCTACGGTAATTGAAACCACTAATTTATTCCACTAATTGCGAGATTCTGAATGAAAATTAGGTTTTCTCTATGGATACAACTGACTACCGCAAGCTGTTACTAGGATATTCTATTCATTTTAATTGTGGTTTTTAAACATTGTGATTGTGATCGTAAACTAAAAAGTATAAAGTGTAATTGAAACCACTAATTTATTCCACTAATTGTGAGGTTCTAAATGAAACTTAACACACTTTACTTGTATGGCACCTTTTATATATTTGGGTTGCATTCCAAATTTAATTCTAGTATTATTATTGTATATCAGATTATCACATAAACAAACTAGGATCATAATATAATATTGTAATTTGCTGATATAACTTTTAGATTGCAATGAGAAAAGCACTAAGAACCAGCTTATGGCTGCTCAAAGGGCCTTGTACATCCCTCAATGTCGGACCCCAGGGGTCCACGACATGACAAAAAATTCAGTCGTCAGATCCGAGGGTAGATCTAATTTTCACCCTGCTTCCTTTTTTGAGTTATCCTCACTCATCATACAATCCTGACTGAATTTGACAAAAAAAAGATCCAGGTCTTTAACAAAAGTAAGTATCTGAGAAGGCTTTACCTTGGTTAGTCCTCCATCTTTTATATTAGTCGTACCAAAGTTTATGGCACGAATGGTTAACGTCTCGTGGGCACGGTGTCGTCTAGTGTTTCTCCATTTTCCCCACGGAATCTGCATTCACCATTGATTCTTAGCTTCAATCTACTGAGCTTTTCATTGAGGAGACAGTGCCTTGTTAAAAACCTCCTGGGCAATCCGAAGATTGTCCTTAATAAATTCAAGGATAATATTTAATTTTTCTCGGTCGTAAGTCCTGAGAAATTTTTGTGTATGGTCTTCTTCCCATTCCAGGTTACGGATGGAGTCTTTCAGCTTCTTCAGTTCTGCTTTAAGTTGGCTTCCACTTGGGAAGCAGAACAGTTATTCTGGTCCAGTTAGTAGAGTGTTTGCTCCTTTTGTAGCCAGATCGTTTGCTTTTTCATTACCTTCTATCCCTTGGTGGGCTGACACTCTGAGTAGGAGGATTTTATTTTCTTTGCCTAATTTGTTCAGTTTCTCTAGGCATTCTTTGACCAATTTCGAATTGATGGTTGCCTAGTTGATCGCTTTTAAGGCTGCTTGGATATTGGATAAAACGGCTATTTCTTGTTTCCGGTAGTTTCTATCTAAGATAAGTTGTATGCCTCTTTCCTATCTCTGTTTCTGCTTTGGTTTTGGAAGTATCAGTATACTACGTTATGGTCTTTTATCTTTTGTAGTATTATAATGGATAAGAAATTTGACTAAAGAACAACCAAGCCTAGAAGATGAGCTCGATATTGCTTAATATTTTTATGTGTTAAAATTACTTACAGAGCAACTACAGAATATGATAGACAGATGAGATATTGATAGTTTTTTATGTCAATTTATAAAATAAAATTCTCCATGGATTGATTTTTCTGATTTTAATTGTATAACGTAAAATTGCAGAAACAATATTTGATTTCCAACAGAAATTATTTTTAAGTCAACGCTAAAACACATTTGATATATTTCCTTTTTTATTCGGCAAATATCATCAAAAAGTTTTCCACGGCACTGTTAACATGATCCTTAATAGAAATAGAAAAGGGAGACATTATCCAATTTAACTTTAAATAGGGGCTCCAATTACGTTTGTGGGCTCTCAAAAAAGATATTGTAGAACAAACATTCTATTAAAAATACTATGAAAACGTTTTTCGCTAATTTAATTGGTTACTTCGTTCTAGCAGATTTAATTTAAGCCTATTCCAGGCAAGTATGAATTATTATTTAATATGTAATTTTTTTGAGTTTCATTTATTTAATGTACATATTTTTTTGGTTTACTAATTTAATTCATTTATCCTAAATATTTAAATAAAGTAGATAAAAATGATAAAATCTAATAGTGAATTTTAATATACAAAATGTAAATAAAAAATATGTGCGAAATAATAAGAGCATTTTTTCAGATAAAATTTTTCGATTTAACGTTTTCCCACCAAGTTTTTGGTTATACAGGGTGAGTCTTCGAGACCAGAAACACGATTAAAAGTTTTTTTTCGCGAAAAAAAAATTATGAAAATTTGAATTTTTTTGGGTTTTTTTTAGTTTTTAGTTAAAAAACATAATTTCTTGAACAATGTAAGCTATCTATGGCAAAATATTTTTTTTAAATGGCTTAGTTTAAAACTCGAAAAAAAAAATTGAAAATAGATTTGTATGTCTGAAAACGTTCTATTCTTCTTTAATCTTCCAATAATTAGTGTTTATTTTTGACAAGTCTTATGTCAATGTTTAGTAAATGACGTCTAGAGATAGACCTCGCCAAAATTATCATCGATTGTCATACCCCATCCCTCTTTGACGCCTTTTTTCATTATAGTAGTGTACAACAGAAAATGCATAAAAATAGATAAAAAATAATAGAAATATTCATACTTGACGTATTCTAGATATATCTGATTAAAATATAACCAAGTAAAATGTTAATTAAATACGTTATCAGAATATTCTGATCCATGATACATGTTAATCTGGACAAATATTGTTGTCATATATGCAGGTATTATTTTGCAATCTATACTAATACATAAAATCCTTAAGTGACTGACATACTGATTAATCACGATCCTGCTCAAACCACTCAACGTAAGAAGCTCAATTTTGGCATACAGGTTGATTCTAGGGTGTAGAGGTTCGATAAGAAGGGATTTTTCGAAATTCCAGTTCCAAGAGGGTGAAACCACCCCTCAAATATTACAATATTTTTTATTTAAAACGGTCAAGTTTCCGAAAAAACGCTTAAACACGTATATTTTATTTTGTTTTTTACATATTTTAAGATTTTTTAAAATGTATACAGGGTGTTTCGAAAAATCTGGTCATTTATTAATCACGATCCTGCTTAAAGCGCTTGACGTAAAAAGCTGATTTTTGAAAACAGATTGACTTTAGGGTGTAGAAGTTCGGTAAGAAGGATTTTTCGAAACTCGAATTCTAAGGGGTGAAATTATCCCTCAAATATTAAAAATATTTTTATTTAAAACCGGTGAGTTTTTCGGAAAAACTTTTAAACACGTATATTTTATTTTGTTGTTTTACATATTTTAAGATTTTTTAAAAATTTATACAGGGTGTTTCATAAAATATGACCATTGAGTAATCACGATTCTGTTTTAACTGCTTGACGTTCAAAGCTGATTTTTGGCAAACGGATTGACTGTGGGGTGTAGAGGTTGGATAAGAAGGGGCTTCTCGAATCTCAAATTCCAAGAGGGTAAAAACGCCCTCAAATATTACAATATTTGTTATTTAAAATACGGTTAGTTTTTCGGGAAAACGCTTGGACAAGCATAATTTATTTGTTTTTTTTACATATTTTGAATTTTTTTAAAAAATCATACAGGGGGTTCCAAAAAGTTGGGTAATTGATTAACCACGATTCTGCTTAAACTGCTTGCCGTAAAAAGCTTATTTTTGGCAAACGGATTTTTCGAAAGTCAAATTCCAACGAGATGAAACTACCCCTTAAATATTACCAAGTTATATAATAATATCGCCATATTGTTTTTCCTCATGCTGACATAAATGTGAGAACATTTTATCCAGTTTGTATGTTAATGCAAATTCTTGCTTTGCTTTATCATCACCATTACAAATGATTAATTCGACACGAACGAAGTCGCGGGTACACGCTAGTCCTTTATATTTAATTTCCTTCTTCATTCGTGTAAAAATACCCAGCCAGTTTTACATAAAACGTTAAATGCCGAACGCTTATTTTGCTACTTTTTCGGACTTGATCCTAAACCATATAAAACAAGGCATTTATTACTTAAATGAAAATCTACTAATTAGTAAGAAAAATTAAATGTTCGTTTCGGATATGGCTAATCGCTCTTATTAAAAAATGTGTTATCGCTCACTCCTACTAAATATCTAGTTAATATTTTGTATAAGCACTATCTTAACCGAAGATAAGATTAAATCGAATGAAACTCGTCAATATGGTTTTAACTGCGGTATGGCAGCGAATTTTAGCGCTCGACCAAGTATTGTTGTGCAAAGTTTGTTAACAAAATGAGCGTAAGTCTCGCATTTAAGTTCTGTACAATGTAAAATACAGTTTATTTCCATATAAAAATATCCACATTCAATGTCAAACACGCCATTGTTTATTTATTACATTAATTATTTTATCAGTAGGATAACTGGTTATACGACGTAAAATGTGTTATATTTCTAATATTATTCTTTCTCGAGTACTGTAAACATTACTGTAACTACAAATTTTTCTTTTGACTCTAACTAAACCGTGAATTATTTGATTACTTTTAACATATTGATATTATTGTAAAAAAATATCAATATGTTAAAAGTAATCAAATATATTTGTGTATTTTTAGAATACTTATCACACTGGTGTCAACTATATTTGGTCAACCCCAGGAATACTTCAAATAGCTGAAGGGGTAAGTGTTAAAAAGTGCTAATAATTCAGATGATTTCTTTTTAAAAATACGTTGGTTTTAGTGTAATTTTTTTCCATTTTGTTTTCCTACAACGTTAATTGCTCATACAGGGCAAACCAAAATCAAAAGAAACATACCTATCAATTTGCACAATTGATTCATTCACCTAGCAAAAAGTACAATGGTGCATTAATATACAGGTCTATTGTATTTCAAAATATTGACAACCTGTGTTTTTTTAAGTTAAATTTTTAAGAGATGTTTAATTTGCAATTCTACTGATACTAATTAGACTATGTTTTCTTGTTAACTGCTTCAGAAACACAAAAGTTTCGGAATTAACTGATATAAGCAGGATTGTATTATTTCAAAACTGCCTGACCCTACTAACTTCTTACTTCTTGAAGTAGGAGTCTTTTTGTTAATCTTGGGGTACGAATAACTGTTTGGCCAAATGTTCTGAAATGATCATGTCGATTAAACAGTTGTTATCATTTGTTCTTTATATTTTTGTTTACACTTTGATTCAAGCATTTTCTATACATTTCAATATCTTTCTATATTTGACTTAGAGCACAGCTTGGAGGCTGCAATTTCTTCTAAGTGTTGACAGGCCAACTTCCCAAGGCATGAAAATAAGTTTGTTTTTCTAATTTGACATGTGATATTTTGCATTTTTTATGGATATTTGTTATTATTGCTATGTTTATTTGACAAAACAGATATATTTCACATTATCTTTATTTTCTGTTTTTGTTAGAAATTAAATTAACATAGGGTATAAAATATTCGACTTCAGTGTCAGTTAGGACATATTCCAGGATACGTGTGAATTTGGTACAAATGTACCACTGCGGCAACACTGTTTTCTAGAATATAATCGGCACGGACATGATCCCCGTTGTCCACTCGGTGTAGCATATATTGAAGGCCCGGACGTGGCTCGGTGTCTACTTTACGGAACGTGCCCGGCTCGGGTACGGCCCGGTGTACCATGAATCAGCCTTAATCCGGATGTGCCCAGATTTTTACTACATCCGATTGTGTCCGGGCAGATTTTTCATAAGCGTCCGGATTTTAATGCTCCATTAAGAAATATCGTAATATTGCAAAATAATATATTAGTTTTAATAAACTTAGTTAGGTACTTAAAAACATCGTCGATAAATTCAGCAGTTTAATTTCATTGTTTTTTATTATTTTTCAAACGTCACAAAAGTATTGATTTTTGCGTAGTGATTGACAACATAAAAAAGTCATTTTAACGCCTTAGCCTAAAAATAAAGTACTTTACAAGCAAGCATAAAAGTACGAAAATATATTATTAAAAAATCAAACTTTAATGAAAATGTAAACACCTATTTTTATGAAAACTATTATATATATGATCCATATTGAATGTTGCACTACCATTTTTATTTAAAGTAAAATAAAAAGTTTTACTAATGCTTTTTAAAATTTAATTGAGATCTTATATTCAGGTCGGCGATATTTTGTGTTCTTTCATACCTAATTTTTACTTTTATTTATTTTTTAGTTGCTCAATATTATATTAATAGTGTCATCCACCGTTATCGATGCATCGTTCAGAGCCAACTTTCTTTGTGGAATTGCCATATTCGCAGTACTGTCAGTTATAGTGTTACTGGGTGTCAATATAACTGGAGTTCCCGCCAAATCTGACGTTCCATGGTTCTGGATTCAGTTCTTTTGTGCCGTAAATTTGGTTCTGTTGTACTCAATCAGTTCGACGCTAGTTATTATTCAACTAACTAAAGGATCTATTATTACTGGGGTAAGACAATAAATTATATTCTTAAATTCGTGTATCAATACAAGGTCCGCCAATAGTGCGTCGGGCATCTGCAGCTCCTAGAATAATGCAAACCTAAAGTATGTACTAGGATGCATTTCAGGAAAATATTTTAACTTCTGTGCGAGTGGATCGGGATGATTTTTTTAAATGGAACACAGCACAAATTTATAGTTAGCTCAAATGTATTGCAATTTTGGTTTCCTTTTATATCATTTTACATAATCCTGATAGGTAATAAATATATGAGTAAATAAGTTTTGATCGTTTCAGAGATATTAATAAATAAAAAAATATATATATTTTTCAGCCTTTCTTAAAAAAAATATAAAAAATACAAGAAATGTGCTGAAATCAAAAGTATACTGGGTGTTTGCTTTAATATTAGTCTCTACTTAACCTAACCAACTGTCCTGAAATCAAAACTATATTAGGTATTTACTTATTTAGGTGGTCTGTACTTACTTTGCTATAAATATGGTAATCGTAAATTATACAGGATGTTCGAAATTCTACGCCAAACTTTCTAAAATATAAAATAATTTTTCTTCGTTTTTTTTTAAATGGAACATCCTGTATATTATTATTTAATAGACGGAGAATTAAAAAATTATTTTTTTTGTATTTAGAGTATTTCAAAATTTTTAACGGTTAAAAAATAATGTACATTAAAAAAAATATATTATTATATATTTATATACCGGGTGTTGCATCGTCGGACTTTTATTGATAGGAAACTTTGGCAATTTGGGCTTGGGGGAATAATACGATCTTCTAAATATTTTAAAGAATAATTCTATTTTAGGTTTATTAAGAGCACTCCAAACCCACATTCAAAAGAATAATTTAGATATTTTTGATTAGCTCAACGAGTTTACGAGTTATCGCCCGATTTCTTTTTAAATATTTCCTTTTATGGCCCTCTAGATTTATTAGCACCAGTCAAGGTAAAAGATAACTGTCAAATAAAATTGTAAAAAAAAAAAAATTCCCAATTTTATTTAGTGCTTTTTATTATTATTGAGAACTCATACCTACATTTAGAAGATGAATAAATAGGGTAAGTTGGCGATGTTAAGCAAAATATAGATTTTTTTATTTAAATTACATGAGAGTGTTACTGATTAACATTACTATTTACTATAAAAACACATGATATTTAAAAAAATTAAACAAATTATTTTTAAACTGAAATCAAAACATTGCTTAATTGATACTGCAACTCGGTCATCTTTACCCCACTAAAAGGGTAGTGATGACTAACATAATGGGGTAAGTTGACTAACATAATGGATTTAGCAGTAATCACAAACGAACTCACTTACACCATTGTAGTTACTGTAAGCTTCGTGCCACCAATACTGGCAATTGCTGCAACTAATCCAGTCCTCCACTGGGGATCCTGGTATAATTCATCACAACCAGGGCAGAAAATAGATCTTTAGTTTTTTTGGGAGGGCCAGGCATTTACTTTCTTTAAGCGCTAAATTGTTGATTCTTTTTAGTCAGGATTTTTTTGAATTTTTTTTTTCTATAATTTTGCTCTTTTCTTCTCTTTGTCTTATCTGATATTCCTTATCCTCCAACTGTTCTTTAATGGGTGTACTGGTTATTACACTAGCTGTCAACTTCTTCCTTTTACAATTTCCCCCCCTTTCGGCTTTTAGAAAAGGTCGAGTGTCACTTCATTCGGTTTATTCTCGGTTTGACTTGTTCCAGGAATTGGCTCATTTTCTTTATTTTCCGCCCTAAACAGATTTCACTTATGCTACTTTTCGAAACGACGAGGTGTGCCTTTGAAACCCATTTCACCTTGTTGTGAACTCTTTATTTCCATTTTATTGTTGATTTTTTCTCAATATCCTTTTGGGGTTTCACAAAATTTATTAGAGGAATATCATCATCAGATTCATTATCGGAATTTTGATAAACGGGTGGTTGATGCGGTGCCCTTTCAGTTGTTTCAGCCATTACAAAATCGTCGTCGCCAAATACAAAAGGGTCAAAAGGTTGAAGACCGCATTTTTTAAAGCCGTTCACAGCATTTGATACCGTTGCGGCCCTATTATATGCTTTTCCAAATAGCTGACAAATATGTTTGTCCCCAATTAGCTGCCCAGGGTGATTTACGAGATGATTGTCGCATTCTCGGCTAAAAAACGACTTCAGCGGGCCAAAAAATGATACATCAAGCGGTTGTAACCTGTGTGTTGTATGTGGTGGGAATCCAATCATGATTATCCCCTTTTGCCTACAATAGTTGATTGCAGGTAAAGATATGTGAGAAGAGTGATTGTCTACCATAAGAAGAACAGGGGTTTCCGGCGACGAATGGTTACTATTTGGAAAATTGGGTGTAAGTATTTAATTGAAAAATTTCAGTGCACATCCATCCATTTTTTTGTGCAGTGCCATCCGAACCTATTGGAGCACCATAGAGTAATTCTTCCTTCATACGAATGCGACCAAATATAAAATAAGGAGGGACATAGTTGCCAACTGCATTAACTGCGCACACAACAGTAGTATTTTTGCCTCGTTCGGCCGAAACAGCTTTAGCTACTCTTCTAGTCCCGACTGGACTTAAAACTTTTGGTAGTTTGCACGGAACAGACGACAGGCCACTTTCGTCGGCGTTGCGACCTGTCGGAATTTAAATTCTTGTATTTTTCCTGGCGAACTTCATGGTAGAATGTCAAAGAACTTTTGGACAGCGGGCTTGTTAAAAGACATTAAACGCGCAACTGAAGTGGCAGTTCTTTTAGACTATTCATTATCTTTTAATGAAATGATAAACCAATCCTTTCCTGCTAGTTTCCGTTCCTTGTTAAAACGATGTGTTATTCCTTGTTCTTCAGCAAAGTCATAGGCTAACTTCCTTAGTTGTATGGCTGTCAATCCAAAACCTCTTTTGTCGATCAAGGTAATATAATTTACTAGTGCCTCGGCCTCTGGCTTAAAATTTAAAACGTAGTAGAACATCTCCCTCCATGCATCGGTAGTTGGTAGATCATTTTCATTTTTTTTTCTAAGATACCTGCGCGCAGTGAGTCGGTTCTTGGATGTCGTGAGGAGAAGCTTACCACCATTGGGTGGGGCGAGCATAATAACTGAAACGAAGTACAATGA